CCCCGCCTTGGCCCCCCGCCGCCCACCGCACAGGTGCAGGTGCAGCCTCCACCGCCGGCACAGCAGCCGAGCCCCCAGCTCACCACCGTCACCGCCTCGGGGCCGGAGCCCTGCTCACGGGCACCACCGTGGCCAACCTCCAGGTGGCCCGGCTCGTAAGTTCCCCTTGAGGCGCTGGTTTTTCCCACGCTCCTGCACGGCTCCTGCTGCGTGGACGCAGGTGCTGTGGCGGACTTGCGAGTCAAGTAGGTGTGCTTCCCCCCAGGACCCTGTTCTCCTTGGAGAGGATGAAACCCCCTGGGGAGCGTTTAAGTGACTGTATTTCCTGGAACTGAAGTGTCACAGCTCATGGCTGAGCGCTCGGGGAAAGGAGGAGGGCAGAAGCTCGACCATGGAGGGAGGGCAGGGTCTACGTCGGGGACAGCACACGGGCATGCGGGAGGGGTCACCGTGCTGCAGGGCCTGCAGAGAGGAGACGGGGAGGAGCCAGGTGAGGCTGCTCTAAGGACGGCTCACAGCACCTGGGAAGCCCCGAGAGACGAAGGGGAGTCGGAAGGTCCTTCACGTTCCGCTGTGTCGATGCAGGCACTCCGGTCAGGCCAGGTGGCCGGCTTAGGAGACCCCATCCTGGCACGGGTGCAGCTGGCATCACCTGCCACCTGATGGGTGCTCAGGCAGGAGGGGGTGTTTTAATGTTTCCCCACTTCGCACGGGCAGAACCTGAAGCCGGCAGGTGAGGTCACCTGCCCAAATCCTAGAGAGTCACCCGCTCGCTGGCTCGGCTCTGCCAGGCGGGACAGAGCGGGTAAAGCCCGAGAGCACGTTCAGTTCCACCCGTGTTCACGTGACAAGAAAGGGCTTGGACACAGTGTGATAAGAAGTTGGTGGCCTTCACGGGAGTCTCGGGCGAGCTCCAGGCTGATGGTCAGGGAGGTCTGTGGGGAACAGCGCGGTTGGGCGGCTCGAAGGACAGGAGGTGCGGATGCCGTGTGACTGATGAGCTTTAGGTCCCGCGTGCTGGTGATGGTTGGACAGCGGGGGTCAGCCTCCGGGGAGATGCTAGCCTTTCGCTGCTGCCACTTCCCACCCTGCGACCCGTCCACGTCTCGCCACGTGGCCTCCGTGGGCGATGTTTGCAGACACACAGGTGGCTGAACCTCTGGGCCCTTCTTTCTGTTCAGACGCGGGTCCCCACGTCACAGCTGCAGGCGCAAGGCCAGATGCAGGCACAGGCGCCCCCGCCGGCGCAGGTGGCCCTGGCGAAGCCTCCGGTGGTGTCCGTGCCCGCGGCCGTGGTCTCCTCGCCAGGCGTCACGACCCTGCCCATGAACGTTGCTGGGATCAGTGTGGCCATCGGGCAGCCGCAGAAAGCCACAGGTGCCTGCCCACGTCCGCGGGGCCGGGAGGGGCTGGCTCCCTCGCCACACGGCCGTGCCGAGGGCCGTGGTGCACTCGAGGGGAAGCCTCGCCGCGTTGCCCGAGTACAAGTTCTGACCCTCGATTTAACCATTAACATTGGGAACTTCCCATCCCTTTATCTCAGCGACTGTCAGCTGCTGTGCCCCAGAGATGTTTCAACAGGCAGTAACTGGCCATGTAATGGGGCACTGACCCCTTCCCTGAGAGCAGGGGTGGGGAGCCTGGTCTGCCCAGGGCCATTGGGCACTTGCAGCATCGTTCACAGGCCAGACTGTATCAACTTAAACGTGAGCCTGCGACATCTGGTCAGACATTTCATTAACTCACCCCTAATGCCTTGGCAGGGCCAGACCAATGATTTCACGGCCTTATTTGGTCTGTGGGCTGGACATTCCCCACCCCTGCCTTAGATTGTCAAGTAAAAAACTGACAACCAGCAGTAATAGCCATCGCTGTGAAAGAATCAAAACTACCTATTTTTCTGTCAGTTTGGTGAGCAGTACTGTTGGTGTGCCAGGAGGGAAAGGTGACAGTCGGTGCTCTGAGTGTCCTGGTGGCCGAAGAGCATCTCGGGTGTGTGCAGGAGGTGCCTGTCTGTCTTGCAGGGTCAGGGTGCCGTTCTCTGTAGCAGGCAGTGACTTAGGGGAGCGCGGGGAACGCAGGGTGAGCCTGCCTCCGCGCCTGACTCACCCACTCGATGGTGTTCGCAGGACAGACCGTGGTGGCCCAGCCCGTGCACGTGCAGCAGCTGCTGAAGCTCAAGCAGCAGGCTGTGCAGCAGCAGAAGGCCATCCAGCCGCAGGCCGCCCCGGGCCCGGCCGCTGTCCAGCAGAAGGTACTGGCTCCTGCGGGCTCTGGGGTCACCCTGTCTGTGCTGAGCCGGGCCCTGCCACTAGGCACAGGGTGCAGAGGACGGGGTCCGAATGGGCCCTGCCTCGCTGCCTGACACCCACACAGGGGACCCCAAGGGCGTGCATTTGGGCTGCACAGAGGGTGGCCTGGATGTTGGTGCTGCTCCAAGGCCCCGGGGGGGGGGGGGGGTATGAAAAGGGGAGCTGTGTTCACTGCGGGCTTTTGGGGAACAGTGAGGACTCAGGCTGTGGGCTGCATGGCTGGTAAGGGCCACAGGGTTTGGGGAAGTGTGTGACCCGCCTGGGCGCTAGTGCACAGAACCGAGGACCCAGGCGGGGACCTGGTCCTGTGTGTGCTCGAGGGGGGAGGGGGAGACGGCCTAACGTGAAGGAGGCCTGTCAGCGTCTCTCTGACTCGGAAGTTTGGGGGAGGCAGCACTGAACTGATTGAGGCCCCAAAGCAAACTCCTGCTCAGGAGGCTGACCTCCGGGCGAGGGGACTCAGGAGAGGCTAGTGGCCGGGGCTGCAGGTGAGAGGGGACAGCCTTGTGGCTCTAACCCTGGGCGTCTTTCTTCAGATCACCGCACAGCAGATGGCTGCGCAGGGCCAGCCACAGAAGGTCACCTATGCCACCCAGCCAGCCCTGAAAACCCAGTTTCTCACCACACCCATCTCCCAGGCGCAGAAGCTGGCCGGGGCGCAGCAGGTGCAGACCCAGATCCAGGTGAGCAGGAGCCCAGGACAGGGCGGGGCCGCACAGCTTCCTTGGCCTGAGTCACTTCACCTGTGGGCCCCCCTCCCAACCTGGAGTGTCCCCCAGACTTGAAGAAGGGGCTCTGAGACCCGTGAACGGCTCGTCCTCATAGAAAGTGTGAGACCAGGTTACATGGGCTGCAGACCAGGAGGGGTCAGCACGCAGCATGAGGTCTTCTCTCGGGCCAGGAGAGCCCACTCGGGGAAGGCTCTTTCCTGTCACCTGGTTTTTTGAAATTAATAACCGAGAAGGGAAGAAAGGGCGTCTTTCTGTGCGAACGCTCTGAACTCTGCACCTGGCTCTTCTCGTTCTGTCCAAGGTTGCCAAGCTCCCTCAGGTTGTGCAGCAGCAGAGCCCGGTGGCCGGCATCCCACAGGTGGCCTCCGCCTCCCAGCAGGTAGGTGCGGAGATGGCAGCCGCCTGGGAAGGTCCCCCGGGGGCTTCTCAGCAGCCTCTGTGTTTCCAAATTGAAAGAGTTCTTGGTTTTCCTCCTGAGGAAGCAGAATTCTGATGATTAGAGAATCACTTTGATTTTCATAATACAAGACACCAGCAGACTCAGGGCCAAAGGTCCCAGAGGATCAGAGCTTCAGCCAGCAATGCCAGGTGTCCTTTGCGGCAGGGAAGCTAAAGGCGTCAACACCATGACTGGGGACAGCCATGACTCCCTCCTGACTGCCTGACGGGCGGCTGTGACATTGATTTCCACTCAAACACCTTTGTTTTCTGAATCACACTGGAGTGTGCATTTCAAGGAATCAAAGACGTTGACCCTTGAAGAACGTGGGTGTAGGGCTCGCACCAGCCGAGCAGCTGAGAGTGTCTGACTTAGTCTGCCCTCCACATACCCCCCCCCCGCCCCAGCCTCGACTGCTGCCCACTTAGCAGATTCCACGTGCACATTCAAGCCGCGTGGCTCAAGGGACAGCCTGGCAGTAAAGGCTGAATGTCACCACCACCACCAGTCCCGGCCCTCAGCCCTCGCCTCCCAGGGCATCGCTCTAGCCCGAGAGGTTTCGTTTTCTACTCGTTGGGTTAAAGGCCAGAGGCCCTGCTTCCACATGCTGGGCAGTCCTCACATTCTCCAAAGAATTCGTGCTCATTAAGTTCCTGCCCCCTCCCGGCCCGGAGCCTGGGGTCTGTCCTGCGCTCGGTCTGCAGGCCTCGGTGACGTGTCTCTGTTTTGGCTCAGGCTTCCCCGCAGACGGTGACGCTCACCCAGGCGGCGGCAGCGGGGCCGCAGGTCCAGGTGATCCCCGCAGTGACCGCGGCCGCCCAGGCCGTCCAGCAGAAGCTCCTGCAGCAGCAGGTGGTGACCACGGCGGCGGCCCAGCTGCAGACCCCGGGCGTCCCCACCCCCACGCAGGTGCCGGCCAGCGCTGACAGCCCCAACCAGCAGCCCAAGCTACAAATGCGCGTGCCTGCCGTCCGGTTAAAGACGCCCACCAAGCCCCCCTGCCCCTAGTCCGGAAAGCGGGCGCCGTCCTGTGGAACTGGGGGCCGTGTCCTGTGACGTCCAGCCCTGACGCTGCGGCGAGGGGAGCCGCCCATGCAGTGCTCTCGGGCCGCAGCTTCTGTGCGACAGCAGGAGGCGCCTCGGCAGCTTCTCCGGGTCCTTCCACCTCCCAGCGCCTCCAGCGCCGCACATCACGGGGCGACTCGGACCGTGAGTCGTAAACACGGTCTGGGCAGCACAGCGTCGGCCTCTGTGGTTCTTTAGACCCAACGCAAAGCGCATCCTGGTCCTGGGAGGAGAGGCCACCTGAGGTCGGTCAGCTCAGATCCGGGACGGCCAGGGTGGCTGCTTCCTTCTCTACGTGTGACTCTGGGACCTTCAAAGGAGCATCTGGTCCCCGTGCCATCGAAGCAGGTCCGCGTACCAGCTCTCGTGGAGGGACGACGCTGGGGTTGAACTTTCATTCCAAAGAGCAGCCAGTGTGACTCGTTTCCATGCAGGTGGCGCCTTCCGGCCGCTCCCCATCCCCACGCACCTCCGTCCTTCCCAGCTGTCGGACTTGGCGCTGAGGCAGCTCCAGGAGCTGAGCCCTGGTCTCCATTGGTCGGGCCCAGGCAGGTGTCACAGCCGCGTGGGGCTCAGGGAGAGGTGCCTGTCACCGCTCGCCCGGCTCAGGCCCAGCCCGGCCCGGCCTGTCTGCAGAGCTGGGCACCTGCTCACACAGTGGTCGCTGTGGCTCTTTCCGTAGATGAGACCTCAGGTTTCTGGGCCAGGGCCTCCCCCACAAGCAGGCACGTGCCATCGTGGTTGTGTGAGGGTGAACCCTGGCTGAGGGCAGAGGCCCCGTGTTTGCGCTTGCGTCTGTGTCTTCTCTGGCGAGATGGCAGCAGCGGCTGCAGTGCTCGCCACGCACACTGCACTCCAAGGACGCCTCTCTGCTGGGGGCGTCCGACTCGGTCCCGGTCGGCTCTGTTAGGTCTGTGTGTGCGGAGATGAGCTGCAGCGCCTGGGAGACGCGGGACCATCTCTGCTCCCCTCCCCACTGAACCGCTCACTGGCAGGGGCGGCTTCTGTCCGGTGTTGGTTTCCCTCCGTTTGTGTGGACAGCAGGGCGGCGACACTTGGGGAGCCAGTGAGTGAAACTCTTGTGCGACATTTGGAGGAAAGTAAAAAATCAAGTGTTGAAAAGGGAAGGTATTTATTTAACATTTCAGTGAGCTGAACGTATGGAAACAGGACCGTCAGCCAGGCCTGTGGGTTGTGTTCGCTACCAGCCGGCAGGCAGGACGGCGCCGAGGGCTCTGCCTTGTCACTGGGAGACGGCCTGCTCTTCACCCTCATCCTTGCGTGCAGGGTCACAGCACAGAGGTCGTGTTTTCGGCTTATTTGTTGTGCAGTTTGCGTTCTCGTCCTCCCGAGGGTGCTGGCCGTCCCTCAGGGGCAATGGTGACGCACTTCGGCTGCCTGGACAGAGCTGGGCAGGAGCTCCTGGGCAGAGCCAGCAGGGAAGGCGGCTGCCGGCCGGGTGGAGAGCAGCTGCTCTGCGGAGGGCCTCGCTCAGGTGCTTCCTTCAGCCACTCCGAGGCGAGATGTGGGGCAGAAGATTGTCCTGTTCTGCTGGGTTCGTCACAGCACAGGTCACCTGACCTCGTCAGTGGTCACGGAGGTAAAAACCCTCCTTCCAAAGTCCACACTGAAGAGTTAGAATGGGTTTCGCAGGCCGTTCCGGGGCCTCCCCCATCGTGCTGCCTGGGACCAGGCTTCTGCAGACACTAACGAGGGAGCTCTCGGATGCAGACCCAGCAGGACTGACCACTCGAGCTGCCCCCCAGGGGCAGGCTTCCCTAGGAGACGGGTCCGACGGGAAGCAGGAGCTGGTCCGCGCGCAGATGCGTTCCTTTTGCGACCGTTAGGGTTTTTTGTTAAGTGTTGTAACCAAATAGTTGTTGTGTTTAGGATTAAAAGACTGAGGATGTAAATACTTTGTAAACAATCGTTTGTACTTGAACAGTAGGGTTTTGAAGAGCACTGATCCCCCCCCCCCCAGGCATAATAAAAGTCTTTTTCATATGTTTTTCGTCTTGTCTCGTAGAAAAGTAGTGAAAGATGCTGGTGGTTTCTTTCAAGCACTTGGCAAAGGGCTTGGTGAGGCTCCCCAGCAGGGGGTGGGTGCAGGCTGAGGGGGGACAGGAAACAAGCCTGGGCTGCAACCCCCTTTGCGCAGCGGACTCCAGAGCAGCCACAGGTCTCACACGCGTTGCACTTTTTAAAAAATATATTTTTTTTATTGATTTGTGAGAAAGGGGGAGGGAGGGATAGAAACATCCAAGATGAGAATCATTGATCGGCTGCCTCCTGCACGCCCCCTACTGGGGATTGAGCCCAGGACCCTTCAGTCCACAGGCCGACACTCTATCCACTGAGCCAAACCGGCCAGGGCTCCCGGCACTTCTTAACTTTGTATCAGGGCGCATTTTTTTTGTCGGGGAAATCACTTTAATAGGCCTTTGGTTACAAGGCAAAGCCAAAGCTCTGTTCACGAATAAGAATGTTCAGGAAATCAGAGGGAAGCCTTCCTCAGACCTGGAGAGCAGCGTCGTCCTGCAAGAGGGCCCCCCACCTTCAGGCTCAGGTGCTTCCCGCGGCCGCACAGAAGGCAGCGCACACACTGGGTTCCGGGCTGGCCCAGGCCCCGAGCCAGCAGCCTCAATTCAGACGCAGGCCCCCACCAGGCTCAAGGCCCCCGCTGAGGGAGGCGGCGTGATGGCTGCAGGGGCCTGCATGCCAGATGCCAGAGCACGAGCGAGCCGGCTCCACGCTTGGCGGCTCCATCCGTCGGCCCTGTGCCCCGGGCCTGCGTGCCAGGGGTGGTGGGCGGGACTGCGAGGCCAGTGAGCTGGCTCAGTACAAGCGCCGGGACGCGGACGGTCTCTGCTGAGGGCCCAGTGCCTCTGCCTCCTGACCCGTCCCTGCCGTGTCCACCCGAGAGCCTGGGACCAGCTGTTCTGCTCGAGTGAACCATGACCTTCGGCGCAGAGGTAGACACCAGCGCGTCCCTTCTTGAGTCCGCCTCCGCGTCAGCACGAGCAGTGGGTCGGAGCTCGGGAGCCGGTTTTCAGTCAGTCACCAGAGCCTCGCGCTCGTTACTCTGCACGCGGCGCGGTGGGGGCTAACGTAAGGCTGGGGGCACACTGAGGCGTAGACGAGCTGAAGTCCAAAACTCGGCTCAGGGCCAACCTCACCCACAGGACAGAGGCCACCTGTCGGTTCTGGGCCCGTCCGAACCATCCGCTCCAGCCCCAGAGGAGCGACTGATCAGAGGCGGACCCGTGTGTGCTTGGCCGCCTCTGGCCAGGCCTGGTGCCGTGACGAAGGGCCTCGCCCGGGCGTGGGCTGAGCAGGCAGTGCGCTGGGGCTCCTCCAGGAGGCCTGTCCGCCCAGGCTCGGTCCCATTGTCCTCAGAGCCCGGCCTAGGCTGCCTTCTGCCTCCATTCTTCCTGGGGGGAGAGGCAGCAGCTCAGCTCAGGCCCCTCACGAGTGTGCGACCTGCCCAGCCCCCAACTCTAAGAGGAGACACCCAGCACCCCTCCTGGGCCCTGCACCTCCACCCCAGGTCCTGGGTCTCCTGCCCTCAGCCAGGAGGTTAAAGGCCCAGGACCTGCTCTCCGTCCGAGTCCCTGTGCAAGCAGCCTGAGTGCTCCCAGAACCGCCAGGGCCTCACCTTGACGGCCCTCTCCAGCTGGGACAGGGCCTCCTCGTACTGCGGGACCAGCGGCTGCAGGAGCTCGCTGGGGGTGTCGTGCGCTCCAGCTCGGGGACCCCGGCTTCAGTCAGCATCGGAGGAACCTCCTCTCCTGGGGGGAGCATGAAGTTCCGGGAAGGGGCTCCCACCTCCCCTGCCCGCTCCCGATCAGTCCCCGCCTGACCTGCACTTGAGGAGCAGCGTGAAGGCCTGTCCGGTGTTCCAGCACGAGCAGTTCTTCCCACCCTGAGACCAAGCACAGACACCTCGAGAGGGGCCCCCAGCCTCCACAGTCTCCCCCCTCCCCCCGCACCCCAATCCAACCACAGCCCCTCACCGGTGCACGTAGGTCCGCAGGTACTGGGGGGCATCGTAGTTCACCACCAGCTGCACCCCCTGCACGTCGATGCCGCGGGCGGTGGCGTCTGTGCTGATGAGGCTGTTGAGAAACGAGGGGTGTGGGACCCGCCTGAGACTGGAACACCGCCCCCTACTGGGGGCCAGGCAGGCACCAGGGGCAAGCACCCTCCCAGGGCACTCACAGCTGAATCTTTCCCTGTTCAAACTGCTTCAAGATCCCCTTCCTCTGGCCGGGCCCGTAGCGGGAGGAGAACTCGGCCACCGTCACGCCTCCAAACGCCTGGACGAGCAGGAAGAGCCTGGGGGGGAAAGCCGGGTGGGCCAGGGCCAGCACCCCCCCTCCCCCCGCCCGCCCTGCGCTGCTCACCCCCTGCCTCACCTGTGGGAGTTCTCCCGGGAGTTGGTGAAGCAGAGGATCCTGGAGAAACCCAGGTGCAGGATCAGGTGCAGGACGACCAAGGGCTTGGCGCGCAGGCGGCAGGGCACATAGTGGTGCTGGGGAGACAGCCTGCGGTTGGCTCGGCCCCCAGCGCCCGGGCGCCACCCTCCCCACCCGGGCACCCAGCTCACCGAGAGCCCCGCAGGGAAGGTGTACTTCCCACCCGAGTCCGCGTCCTCATCAGTGTCCCTGGGACCCCCGCGCGCTGGCCGCGTGGAGAAGAGCCAGGGCTGGTGCAGGCCCAGCTGCTGCAGCTTCTCGGGGTTCTGGGTCAGCGTGGCCGAGAAGAGCAGCTTCTGCAGAGGCATCTGAGGGCAGCAGGTGCTGGAAGGGCACAGACGCTGAGGCGAGCCTGGGCCTGGCCGCCCGCCCTCATGACCCCGACAGACCGGACCGGGCGCTCCCCCAGGGCAGGGCAGGGCAGGGCAGGGGACCAGTACCTGGCAGCGGTCACAACCTGGGGCTGCCGTCTCTGGAGCAGAGCGAAGGGGTCCTTGGCACCCTCCCCAGGGAAGGCCGCCGCCACCACCCGGGGGAGCCAGGACTGGTGCATGCTGTCTATCATCCGGTCGGCCTCGTCGATGACCTGCAGGCGAGAAGGCCGGGCTCCGGTGGGTGAAGCTGGCGTCAGCCGGCCGGGGCCTCCCCTGGGTGGGTGGGCAGCCTACCAGGAAGCGGAGGTGCTGGAGGCTGAACCCCGGGGTCTGGTCCACGTGGTCCACCAGGCGGCCGGGAGTGGCCACCACGATGTCAGCCAGGCAGCGGAAGCCGTCCACCCTGCAGAGCAGAGAGCGCTCAGCCGAGGCCCCACTGCCTCCGATCTGGGCGCCTGCGGCCAGGGCCACACGGGGCTGTGCCCTCCTGCACCCGCCTCCCCAGGGCCCGTGCCCAGCAGGACCTACGTCTTCTGGACGAGGCTCTCCTGCTCCTTGGCCAGCGACTTCTGCCCGGTGACCAGGGCGACGCGCAGAGGCGTGGCGTCGGTGTAGACGTTGAATACTTTGCTCACCTGTAAGAGGCCGTGTCACGCCTGGCCTGAGGGGTCACGCCAGTGAAGGACTCTGGGGGTGACCCAGGCACGGGGTCCTCGTACCTGCTGGGCCAGCTCCTTAGGTGGGCAACACAACCAGGGCGCGAACCCTGGGCACACAGCTTCGCTGCAGCAGGGGCCCTG